TAATTTGGCTAATCTTTAGTAATATTCATTTTTCTCAAGGAATACATCATTCTATTATGTTATGCTATTTTTTATGTTATATTATTTGTATTTATGTTCTTAATTTTGATTTTCTTAAAATTTATTACATAGTTTTAAAGATAATTTTTTATATATATAAATGTGCATCACAATATTTATAAACTTTATTTATAAAATTACATAAATTTAGTGATATGATTTGGTATTTGATTCAATAGAATAAACAAAAACTTAATATAATTAAGTATTTATATTTGAAAGAAGCCATAAATTATTTTTTAATATTTACATAATAGAATATATCTTTATTATTCATGTCAAGATTGAACTTTATTTCTAAATTATATCTATTAAAAGTAAAATAAGTTTAAAAAACATTAAATATTTAAAATTTTGTTATGAATAAATACTCACGTTGTACATATTTTATTCTGACTAGAAACCATTGAGTTGTTTCTATTTATTGTTTTTATTTGTACATCAAGAAAATAATTATTATATATGACTATAGAACCATCCATGCCAATTATGTAGTACAATTATAACGTTTATTGTTAATTTATATCTAAACTACATGTATATATGTGTATATATATATATATATATATATTTATTTATTTATTTAAATATATAATCTCCTATCATCTAATATTATATTATTTAGAAATTTTGAAGTCTACTTATGAAGTGTGTATTGATTCAATGCAATATATGTTTATGCTTAAAGCTTTGATATTATTTTATTAGATATTAAAAATTAAAAAAATAAAAATAAAACCAGCTTTTGCATGTACAAAATTTAAAATAACACACTTTATGAACTTTATAGGATTTTACCAAAAAATTACCAACTTATTTGGAACCAATTCATATAACTCCAAATTATACAATCTGAGACAATTTTGACATTGATTCAATTTCCTAATAATTTAAAACAAAAAAAGTCATGATCTGATTATATTTCTATAATATGTATGAAACAAGATTCAATACTATCTAACTCAAATAATCTAACCTCTATCAAGTATATCAAAACCTCTATTAAATACTAAATTTATAATGAGACAGGTATTCAAGTACACTCTAATTATGATATTATCTGAAAACTTCAAGTGATTCTTATAAAGACTTATTCTTTTTGAGCTAAATATTCTTTTATATAGCATCCAAGTTAGAAACAATTTAGATAGTTATTTTTTTGGTTTTGGTTCTGGTTTTTCCTATTTTATTTTTTTATATTATTTTTATTAAAGCTATTTATCACTAATTTCTACTAGTGACTACTAAAGTAAATATACTACAACTAAATAAACTTCTTTGAATTAATAGTATAAATTCGAATGCTATCATTTAATAGAAAGTATGGTGATTATAGTTTATTAAAACCAGTACATCCGTACGATTTTTTTGAATTTTTTTATAATATGTTCTTATTTAATTTCTATCCTTTACTAAATTTAATTGACAAAATATCAAAATGCTTCTGTTATTTCCTTTTGTACTAAACAGTTTGAATCTTCACAATTGAATTTAATTCTCTGAATTTGTTTTCAGCAAACCAATTCTACACTTGCTAGAGAGAACATTAGAAGTAACCAACCTGGTTTTATTTCTGTTTTCTCTTTATTCTATTATCAATGATTCTAAATACAATTTCTCTTGACTTTAAAAAAATTGTTACTTTTTTATTTTTGAAATTAAATTAAATTCCTACTTTTAATCTTTAAAAAACTAAGTACGAAATCAGTAATCAGTAATGCTACGAAAAAAAATCTATGTATTATAAAAGCCATATTTAAATGCCATAATGCTGCAATCTAATTTGAAAACATGTTATCATTATTTTTAATTTATTAAGGTGGTGATGCTAATGTTGAGTTTTTTTAGTGAATCTGTCTTTTATGTCCTAAATTATTATTCTGTGAAGTACCCATGAAGTTCATAAATGATTTTTCATTGTATCGATAGTTCTAAGGGCTTTTGTCCATTTTCAAGATATTACATAGATTCGAAATTCTATAGAAAGAAGAGTAATTAATACTACAGTACATGCTATAAAGACTCAACTTATTTTAATCTTTACTATCTATTTTATTTTGTATTTTTTCACTTTTCAATTATTTTTTGTCTTTTGTAAGTCTCTCCATCATAGTTTTGAAGAATTATTAAATTTTTATTAGGTATACATATTTGAAAAATAATTCTAAAGATAAATAATCATAATAATAAAAACTTAAAATATTATTGTTTTACATGCATGTTATGTAATTTTTATATTATTTTTTATATATTTCTACTAAAACATTAAAAAAATTCTTTCAATTTTTTAAAATAAATTGATCTATTTTTTGTGCCTAAATTTTCAATTCCATTATGGGTAAATGGAGTTTTTAAATTTAATTCTAAATAAAACAGAATTGGATCCTTTTAAATTGAATCAATGTAAATTATGTATTCTTGCAATGTCTTACTATCTCATCTCTATAAATTCCAATTATTACTTTAAATTATCAATACTTGGACTTGGTGTTGAAACACTCTCTAAAAAACAATTGCAACATCCTTCTATGCCCATTTTGCCTCTTATTACTTTTAAATTTAAAGCTTAATATATTTTACAAAATAAATACTAAAAATATATATTGTGGTTTTTAAAAATAAGGCTATTTTCTCTCATATATTTTATTCTGATAATTTACGAATTAGGTTTTTAATATAAAGTTGCAAATTTGTTTATGTTCATTTACATCTTGAAACCATAAGATGCCTTGAGTTAGTTGAGGTAGGTTATATAAGTCATAAACTATGACAAGTACCAAAAAACATAAGGTCATACAATCAATGAGAAA